AGCAAAATAGACCCAAATTAGACGCGAATTAGTTGGTGAAATGGTCGCGAAATACCCCCGAAATGCTGCAAAATACCGCAAAATACCCCGAAATAACAGAAATGGCAGGAGAAAATACCACAACATAGCCCGTACGCCACGACGTACCCAAGTGATTTCTCCCTCGCTATGCCGCTGTACCTCTTTTAGAAACCCGCAGAAACGTCAAATCATTATTAATCTTCCTGACGAACGGGAATCTTCGAAACCCACGAAGGTCAGCCTGGGCCCAGATTGGCGTGAGTCTAAGTCTAGTGTGCGGGGAGCCGCAGGGCGCAGGCAGCAGGCCGCAGGCGGGGAGTCAAGAGCCCCTCGGTGGTCACGGCGGCGGCACAACTTTGGGGCGTGTTGTGGTGGGGCGTGCTGTAGCGGGGCGGGGCGGGACGTGTTGGTATTTTCGGCCGGTCTCACACAAGTTTCAAGGGCCGACCCTTCCTTCCCGTGGAGCAGTGTGGAGGGATAGGCGGTGGTACCTGGCGAGGGTGAACCAGTCCTCCCAGCGGGTGAGGGTGGCAGCCGGGTCGGCGTTCTCGGCGTTCGCGGCGGCCCTGGCGGACGAGGATGTTGACGACGACGACGACGACGCCGACGACGCTGACGACGGGCCGTCGGCGGCGTCCTGGCCGGGCACCGCGACGCCGCCGAGGGCGGCGATCACGTCCTGGGAGCTGGCCCGCGACAGGCGGTCCTCGCCGGCGCGCTGGCTCTCCTCCAGGCCGCGGCACAGCAGCGCGGCCGCCTCCGAGATGGTGGCGGTCTCGGGGACCACGATCAGGTCGCCGGCCCCCATGATGATCGTGCCGAGGAGGTCCCTCGGGGAGCAGCGGCTCGGCCCCTTATTGTTCTTGTTCCGGACGAACTTCGAGGCCTTCGAGGCAGTCAGGTCATGGGGCCCGCTGCTGCGCGGCGGAGGAGCCCGCCCACTCACTGCGCGTCATGTTCGACGCCCCTCTACCCCGCCCC